AAACTAGAGAGCCATAGTTGAAGGAATTATTTACGACATCTGCGTTCTCCGAAAATAGGTCCGTATATTCAGCATCAGTTAGATCATCATCGGTGACAAAGTTTGAAGAGAAAAAATCAGCAAAGAGATCAGCAGCTTCAGAGAGAGTTGGTAGAGACGTCACTATAAAAAACTGAGTTATGGACAGTAGAAACAATCTTTCTAGATTTAATATACCTCCAAAAACTTTACGGACTACTTTTGATTTGTGTTTCAAAATTACTAATGTACTCTTTGTAGCGTGATTTATTCATGTTGTTGAATTGGGTCCTGTACGAGGAGTATAAGTCAAAGAATTTCTGATCTTAAGTTAATTTATATTTTTTAAGAACTTATTTCTCAAGTTCTTTAGATGTTTTAGCTTCTTTGAATACCAAGGAAGCTTATAAGGTACTTTAGCATGCACTGGAATGAACTCTTTACATAAATTAACGGCATTACTTTTGAATAGATTAAAGCACGCTGCAGCATCAGACGCGCCAAAAGCATCATCCCATTCAATATCTAAAAATAAATTATTGAAAAATTCCCAATCACACGAGTTTTAATTAAATAAGATATTCTGGCTTTCTTCAGTAATATCAAAGAATTCTAGAAACTCAATTTCAAGCGCTAGTGGGTAATGATGAATATTGGGTGGTGAGATTGATACTGCAGTGATATCAAGATAAAACTTAATGTTAGAACTTAGAAAGATAAGATCCAAAGTGTGATTTAAATTTTTTTGGAATCCATTAACCTCAACTAAGTCATTTCCCATCAAATTGTGGACAAAATATGATTCCATGTCGCTACTAATATTAGACGGGGTTAGAAATAAATTATTATCTAAGTAGGACCAAATAATTCTACTTAAATTAAAATCGCTCTGCATAAACGCTCCGCTGTGCTTGCCGATATAAAAGCATAAACAGACGGCAGCGTTGATCCGGATCAACTCGGGAATTAACTGCAGTTGATCCGGATTAAGTCCGAGTTTATCCGGATCAACGCTGCCGTCTGTTCAAGCTTTACGACATTACACCTTTATGACGACTTCTTAAATGAGCTCTCCACTCTGTAGATCTTGTCCTCGTACCTTGGATTTCAATAAGACGTAGCGCAAATGCTGCAGTGCGCACAACGCGATTCCACTTCAAGAAACGTTTAACTTCAACTACCTCATCAACTGCCCCTATATGCATTAGGTGGCGTTTCATCTCCTTCTTCGTGTCTATAGGTGGATATACGTCGACCGGAGATTCGTCTTTAACCATGTATAGAAATTGAAGGCCACTAAACCATCGACCATCATTTTGTAGGCTTATCTTAATTACTCATTTAGTGGCTTCATCTGCTACATTAAGTTTGCTCGGTATCCACCTCCACTCATTTGGATTGGTTAAACCAAGAATTTCGATTACTCGAAATCCTACAAACTGGCTATATTTGCGATAACCGGAATGTAGCCAACTCAAGACCGTCTTAGAATCCGGCCAGTACAGCTTTCGACTGATTTGTAAAGTATAGTTTTGAAGAATGTGAATTACAAATCTAGCACCAATAAGCGCTGCCGTGAGTTCCAAGCGAGGGATGAATGTCAGCTTCAATGGTGGTATCCAATCAATGAGCACACAATATTTTCACCGTCAGTGATTCTGAAATAGGGCTTGTTGAAGTTGCAATCACATATTCGTATGCATGTACATATATGTGTATGTGTGTGCGATTATATATTAGGGTGGTTCATCCTTTTAAAGTTTGGTTTAGGCTTATGGCCTAAACAACCGCAGTGTTGCGCGAATTATTAAAGTATCGCGTTCTGTGTGAATTTCTAGCAATATATTATCAGTTGGGCCATTGCAACAATGTTGCCATTTTTCATCAGTACGGCAGTAATTCCACTTTTATTTCGTCTCTCGAACAAGCCCATATTCAACTGCAGTGTATCCATTCTCGCTAGCATCTACAAGAGTATGCAGCTGCACGTCGAGCAAGGTATAGTTAGCGAAACATTTCAGATAACAGCAGCTAATGCGGTTGTTTTCTAAATCCGCATTTTTTCTCATATAATCCGATTGGAGAACTTCGCTGACAAAATCTCCCAAGTAACAGCGCTGCACCAGATTTCTTGCATTAAGATCTTTGCGTATATAAGAAAATGACTTAGCAGCCCAAGGGGATCATAAATCGACCCACATGCGCGCAGTACCTCTCTTTTTGTAGTGAAGATTTCGTTTTCGAAATCTGGCGCGTTTAGGTTGTTAACATATTGCGAAATATTCGCAGCATAAGTTGCGCCGAAAATCATAACATTCATTATGTAATTTTATGGCTCCATGTCAGCCTTGCATTGTCGCCATAAAAGCTTTACACATGTTGATCTTCAGATCTAATGAAAATCTGGTGAAACATTTCGGCAATGTAAACACACCGCGACAGACTTTCGTCTAAATCGATGTAACGTGCCGGGCAGCGATTCTAATAAATCAGGCCCTTTTAGCAGTAACGTGTTAAGTGACTCCCCATTAACCTTGGCAGAAGCATCCCATACTATTCTTGTTTTGCCATGTTTGTTTTTGTTGAACACGGCGAAAATTGGCAAATACCACACTTTCTCGTGAGCTTCTTCGTGCTTATCTAACTTGCGTTGTCATAAAAAAGCTTAGCAGTTTAGGATCAGCATTTATCTTTTTCTCTAGACACAAAATTCTTTTCTTTGCCATATTATAACTATGTGGTAGTTCAAAATTGTCATATCGCCACAACAGCTCGGGTTCTTAGTGACCATCGCCGCGCTTTCTGGCTAGTACCTTCAGTATATTTACACAACGCTTATCTTCAGTACTGGCCTTTAATTGAGACGAGAATTTAACGCCTATATTTTCTAATGAGTAAAATGGTTTTACAATTTCTTGCAGCTTCACATCGTTGCTTCACATCACAAAATAAACATGATAAAAGATAAAAGAAATTTTTTTCAGTAAATTTTACTGAGTATTGTCTGCGATGAATTCACAAAGGGTTTCCGCCCAAAATGTTTATTTTAGTATGGTTTTGGTCTAAGAAAAGTTATCCTTCATAAGATCACTTTGTTATGATGACAACTTTAAGAGGAATTTGAAGAAAAGATGCATTGCTTTTGAGTTAAACCATATTCCAGCGCAGCTTGAGTCACATCGAAAGGGGATTTTAGCAAAAAAAAAGGACGAGCACTCATCGGTTCCTTAAAAGATTTTAAGAACGGATTTAAATAAAAAAACTTCTTGTAAAAAAATAATGTTACCTAAAAGTCTCGATTTTCGATTGTTTCAGCCGTGTAAAATAATGTAGAAAGGATACAGAAAACATTTATAAAAAGTAGTCTGAGAAATGAATACCGGAAAAATCGTTATTTTAAACTATTTTGTAAGGTAATGTTAATAATTTAAGTGTGCTCTGCCCAATCCACAAGAAAGGCGACTCCGCCATTCCCGCCAACTACCTCGGGGTAAGCCTTCTAAGCATAGGTTGCAAGTTCTTATCGAGCGTATTGTGTGAAAGACTGAAGCCAACCGTCAACGGTTTGTCAAACTTAAGAGCTACGTAAATCACACAAGCTACTCGTTAAACCTACTTTAGTATTCTCCCAAACACTTTTTTGTAGATGAAAATAAATTTCAAATTAAATATCGATATGGCGGGTAAAGTATCGAAGTGTCTTCGATATATCGACCTGGAAATATCGATTCAAAAAATCGATTGTCGCACCATGAAATATCGATATTCAGAATAATCGATACGATATCGAACATTCCTACTATACAGTTATAATATCGAGAAAAAATCGAGGAGAATTTCGTTTATTTGGGAACCAGCATTAACAACGATAATAATGTCAGCATTGAAATCCAACGCAGAATCTCTTGCCAACAAGTGCTACTTTCGACTGAGTAGGCAATTAGGGAGTAAAGTACTCTCTCGACGTACGAAAACCACACTCTATAAGTCACTCATAATGCCCGAGCTGGTATGTGGCGCAGAAGCATGGGCAATGACAACATCCCAAGAGGCAGATCTTGGAGTATTCGAGAGAAAGATTTAGCGGAAGATTTACGGGCTTTTACGCGTTGGCGACGGCGTCTACCGCAGGCGATGGAATGATAGCCTGGGGCCTATTTCCTAAAAGTGACTGGTGCGACAATTGTCGACTCTTCTTTAAAATTTCACTGCCAGAATTGTCGGCGTCTTTGTTTCTGTTTCATATACGCTTGTAGGTTGTGAAAATTTTTTGGACAGTGATATTATGGAAAATTTTCGACAATTGTGCTGACAATTGTCACTCTGACAAAATTGTCGCGACAATAGCGACAAAACCGAATAGCTCCGTCGGAAAGCTTTCACAGGTGAGTTTTGTAAATTCATTTATATGGTAATTGCGCGCATTTCATTACTTTTCATTAATTTGAATATTTCTTAAAACTAAAATAATGCAAATGCAATTATTACATATGATTTACATATAAATTTCATATGACTGGCGACAATTTTGTCAGCGACAATTTTAAACCCCGAAAATGACAATTTGTCACTTTTTCGATGGAATTTCTCATGGAATTTATGAGGTGGTGACAATTATTTTTATGAAACAAAACACCAACCAAACTGTCGAATTGCCACTGACAACATGGAAAATACGTGTCGTTATAAAATTATCACTGTCGCTTTATGAAATAGGCCCCTGATGACGCTCCAGCTCTGAAAATATTCAACTCGGAACCCGCTGGTGGTAGCAGAGGAGGAGGGAGGCGCCCACTGCGATGGAAAGACCAAGTGGAGAAGGACTTGGCTTCACTTGGCATTTCCAATTGGCGTTAGCTAGCACAGAAGAGAAACGACTGGAGTGCTTTGTTGAACTCGGCCAAAATCGCTTAAGCGGTTACAGTGCCAAATAAGAAAAGAAGAAAAATAATTGTAATAAAAACGATTCTAAAATTACTTACCGCATAACCAAGGATTTTCACAGAGGATAATGAAGTCTACGACGGCGTGCTCCATTTCCAAAACAGTCGTTGATTTTCCCACCATAACAGTTATACAATTTGATTTAGAACTTTTCTCAGTAGGCATTCCACCAGAAAATATTGTAAAAGAATCGCTGAAATATAAAAATATATTTGAAAAATATCTGTCTTTTTTTGTTATTTTTTGGCCTAATAAATCATACTAAACAATTTTTATTGAGCATTTTGCCGTTTTTGTTTGAAAAATTATTGTGGAAAAAACAACAGTAGTTTATAGGTGGTAGAAGTTATAGCTGCTATTTCGGAGATCACCACATCTCCTCATCAGACTTCTTCACTGGGATTCGACACAGCGACCCCAGCTTACAAAGTGAAACGTTTAAAGTAAAGTTTATTTCCGGACTGAATATCATACAACATAGAAAATCATGCTACAAAAAAGAAGGTAGTTTCAATAAACAACTTTTTGATTAAAAAGCCCATGGGCTGTGAAATTTTTCCAACAACACATATTAATTTCACATGAAATTTTGACACACCCAAAACTGCAGTATAAAATAAATAGATAAAAACAAATTTTCAATCAAACTGATTTGTATAGTTCAGGGCGTCTTTTAGTAAATGTTTTGGAGGCTGTTTTAATATATCCTATCTTATTATATGTATATTTCTTAGCTTTTCTACATTCTGAGAAGTTGAGAGAATGAAGTCTAATGTTCTTTTTTGGTCAACTACGACGTTTAATTTCATTTTTTGCAATCATTAGTTCATTTCGCCCATACCGGCTGTACCGATTTTTTTGAAATTTCGGACACAAATTATCCAAGAATGGTTATAGGCTAAAACAAAACCGATATCTAAAGGGGGTGTGGAACCTCCCATACAAATAAAAATTTTCATAGTGCATATCTCTGGAAGTATTTGTGGTAGAGTCCTGGAACTTGATATGGATATATGTATATGAAGTCAATCTCAAGCTCATGGAAAAATATGGGTTTATTGGAAAATGCAGCGTGCCACCGTAGAACTTGGAATAGAGGTAAATGAAATCAATCCCAAACCTATGAAANTCGCCCATACCGGCTGTACCGATTTTTTTGAAATTTCGGACACAAATTATCCAAGAATGGTTATAGGCTAAAACAAAACCGATATCTAAAGGGGGTGTGGAACCTCCCATACAAATAAAAATTTTCATAGTGCATATCTCTGGAAGTATTTGTGGTAGAGTCCTGGAACTTGATATGGATATATGTATATGAAGTCAATCTCAAGCTCATGGAAAAATATGGGTTTATTGGAAAATGCAGCGTGCCACCGTAGAACTTGGAATAGAGGTAAATGAAATCAATCCCAAACCTATGAAAAATGGGGGTATATGAAAACGATCTCGTAGCCAGCTACGAGAGCTAGCGGTGTAAGCCATATACATTAAAATTCGTCACGCATAGATACCTCTGAGAATAGAATACTGAGATGAGGCATTTTTCCAATGGAAATATGTACAGAAAAACGGGCGCGACGCCTTCTGGAAAGTAACACGATCACAGGGTGTATCCCTAGAACCATGTTAAGCTAAACCTTGAGGGATTACATTCTTGCCAAGACCGACAGGCATAAGCTGAAATTGCGTCGCAAGTTTTACGATCGGCTTGGGTAAGGTTTAACCAATTAACCCCCCTTTGTTTTCGCCGCTACTGAATTCTATAAACTGTCAGCTTTCACACAATTTAAAATGTACATGTGTATTTAAAAATGTCATGAAAATTGTGTTGCTAGCTTCATTTAGCAAAAATGTTGCAAGCTTTTTCACAGCGTGAACAGAATACTACTTTGCAGAGGAAATGTTGTGGAATTTCACACTTATTTCACAGAAAGAAATTTTATATGCAATTTAACAGCTTTTTCACGTGAAACAGGAATAAAATACTATGCTTAAGAACAAAGATTTTTAAATCGACAAAAAATTAATAAGAAAATTTGAAGGATTTTATTAGATATTGGGTATGGTAGCATGAAATGTCACAATCTGCTTAATTGTCAGGTTATTAATATGGCGACGAAAAAGTGACAATGGATCTACCTTGTTTTTTGCATCATGTAGAAAATTTTAAGACAACCATTTTCTTCAAAGTTAGCAAGATCAATTGAAGATCAAAAAGTAATTTTTAACAAAGTGAAAACATGTCATTTTCTGCTCGCCAATTTTTTGAAAACTTCTGGTGTATAAAAATCTGGCTTGTGTTTAAGACGAGTTGAATTCCGAATTACAGATTTTATTATTTTTTTTATAGGCTTAATGACTGCATTATGTATAAGTACTTTATAATCTAGTTTCAGTTTTGATTTACTGTTTATGAGCCAGTTCACGCTAGCTGACTTTAGCTTCATTTGTGTACTCTTGGTTGATATGTGTTTGCGCCAAGTTAGTCTCCTATCCAAGTGTATTCCTAGATATGTCACCTCATTGGCTTGTGGAATATGGACATTATTTAATTTGATTGGGGGCATACTTGCGGTCTGAGTGAAAATGTTGTTTACACTTCTGTTCATTGACTTTTATGCGCCAGTTTGCCAGCCATTCTTCTATGCGTAGTAAATGTTCCTCTAGTACTCTTGAAGCTCTATTGGGACATTTATTACGACTTACTAAGGCAGTATCATCAGCGAAGATGGATGTTAGTATATCCTTGCTAGTTGGAATATCTGAAGTGTAGATGATATACAGCATAGGCCCGAGTGCACTACCTTGAGGAACGCCAGCCGTTATCGACATGTCTTCTGAAGTGAACTTAGATACTTTCACAGCAAATTTTCTGTTAGATATGTATGATTCAAATATTTTGTGGAATTTCGTCGGTAACAATTTTTTTATTTTATATATAAGACCGTCGCGCCACACTTTGTCGAATGCTTGTGCCACATCGAGAAAAATTGCAGAGCAGTACTCTCTGAGCTCAAATGCCCTTCTGATTTCATTTGTAATTCAATTAACTTCTTCAATTGTACCATGTTTTTCTAGGAAGCCAAATTGGAGTACTTTTTCGAATACTTTGGAGAGACAGGGCAGTGAGCTTATTGGTCTGTATGAAGACGGCTGTGTTGCGTCTTTTCCAGGTTTGGCTATCATGATTATCTTCAACCTTTTCCTTGATTTCGGAAAGTAACCGAATTTGAGGATAGTGTCGAAAAGGTCAGAAAGAATTGCTAGTGCAACATTCGGTAGCTCTATTAGCATTTTCGGAGTTATCAAATCAGCACCCGGCGATTTCTTTTGATTAAGCTGCTTTACTATAGATTTTATTTCTAAAGAGTTCGTCTTGCTAGGTGTGTATAACTCATTTTTATTTTTGGTTAACCGTGGCAGCCTGAAGTTGTTCGTTGGGCAGTTTAGCTGAAACACATTCTTTAAATGGTGTGAAAAACACTCGGCTCTCTCCTACGAGCCCAGGTACCACTTTGGTTCCTAATGGCATTTCCGTAGCCACTGGAGGTTTGAAGTATTTTAGCGATTTTCATAGAGAGTATTTTTCAGTAGAATTCGGGGAAAGCTTCTTAATGTACCTTTGCAAGTTGCGATCCTCTGCACGTTTGAGTGCTTGTTTCCGTTTTCTACTGGCAGCTTTATACAGTAGCTGTGAGGTTGGTGAGCGATGGCTCTGCCACTGTCTTTTTAGGCGCCGCTTTTCTGCCACAAGCTTTTCTATTTCTGTACTTGTAACTGATGTAGGCGTAGGTGGTACTTGGACTTGTTTTGGTGTCGCCAGTCCAGCGGCTGAAGTAAGTGTTTCTTTAAAATCTTCAACAAAGGAGTCTATATCACCCGCGCAGTTAAGTGCAGCGATTAATTTAAGGTGGATACTGATGTACTTTTTATATTTAAGCCAGTTGGTGTTATTTAAAGTTAGACGAGGCTCAATCTCGATGTTTTGGGGTTGTTGAAATAGTTTTATTAATATAGGGGAGTGATCGGATGATAGTTCATCTAGAGTTTCTGCTGTTATGTTATTTCTGTCTATGTTTCTTGTAATTGCGAAATCTATTAGGTCTGGTATCTACTTTATTTCGTATGCCAGTAAGTAGGTTTACCAAGCGATGTGACCTCTAGTCTATTGTGCCTGTTTATAATACTATTGTATAACTGCCGGCCTTTTGGGTTAATAAGGCGTAATCCCCAGTACGTATGCTTTGCGTTGAAGTCGCCTCCTGCCAGGAATCTATTACCCAGGCTATCAAAGAAATCTTTAAAGCCATTTTCAGAAATTAAAAATCGCGGTGGTCAATAAATAGCCGATAGATTTAAGTCTCGGTCGCGGTTTCGTAAGCATATGGGAGTTGCTTGCAGACAGGCTGTGGCTTTTGAATCTAGAATATTGTGCATTAGGCGATTTCTAATCATCACCGCTGTGCCTCCATAAGCTTTACCATCTGGGTGATTTGTGGCATAGAATTTGTATCCAGGTATGGAGAAATTATACTTATTTGTTAAATGTGTCTCGGACAGTACATAACATCTATGTTATATTCAGTGAAAATGGATGAGTTCTAATCTACGCTGGTTTACACCGTTAGCGTTCCATAATCAAATTTTCAACTCACTCATTTTTTATTCACTAAAATTTGCAACAATTGGGTTTGAGCCTTTATGATCTTGAATCATACTTTGCATAGTAGACATGAATTGAGTCATACACTGGGTAAGATTCAATATCATTTGTTCTAGGCCACAAGTGGGGGGGTTCGGCTGCATTTGCTCAGTATTATTCCGTTTAATTTTTTGCAAATGTTTCTTGATTGGAGTTTGGTTTCGCCGTGCTTGACTGCGTTGTTAGTTTTAATGCGTGGGCAAAAGAAACGTTGGGAACTCGCTGCGCGTTGGCAAAACAGGCTCCTGGGGCTCTATTCTGCAACTGTGAGAAAATGTAGTGTACACCGAGTGCAAAACTCACAACCAAAAACTCACCGACTAAAATTCAGCGAGTTTTTCGGAAGAGAAGTGTACACAATTTTGACAGTTAAAACTCATTCTCACACATGCTGAATCGCAAAATGAGGAAGTGTACACAATTTTGACAGCTAAAACTCATTTTCACTCTTCCTGAATCGGAAAATGAAGAGTGCACACAATTTTCAG